TTATGTACAAAGGATACAAATGAAGAGATGCATAGCACAAGACATGTAGGAAGGGGTGCAGAGCTTCTGTTTCAGAATCCCAAATTCAGGCTCATGTACCCTATGCACAACTAAAGCCAAACACTCTGACACTGGGGGTTGGAGAGAGAGAAAGGTTTATTCTATTTGGCCAAAGTGAGAATACAGGAGAGCAGTCTCTCAGATCTGCTTTCTCACAAACATGAGGTGAGGAGGTTTTAGGCATCAGCAGCTAATTTCCTCAAAGGCATTCATGGTTTCTGCAAAACAAACTCATAAAAGTTTGTGACGCCAGTGTTTTCTCCTACTGGTTGACAAAAATAAATAAATAAATAAACTAGCAGTTAATGATTACTGTGAGAACAAATGGTATCAGGCAGGAAGCAAGTGGCTATCAGATGTATGCAAGTAAGTGTTTACTCAGAATTTACATTATGTAGGTCAATAAAAATGCTGGGGTATTAAAATGTCAAGGGGCCCAGCTACACTTCCACATCCGCTCTCAGCAGGCCACCCTCCAGAAACCTCCATATGTTTGGCCATCCAAAAGCTCTCTGAACCCTGTCCTTTTGGGTTTTTATGAAGGCTTCATTGTCCACTGGTGATCACCTCAACCTTCAGCCCCTCTCCCTTACCTGGTGGTTGGGGAGTGGGTTTTAAAGTCTCAACCCTCTAATGCAGCCTTAGTCTTTCAGTTGATCGGTCCGCACAGTGATGCGAGGTAGGAGGGCTGCCAGACCTAAGTCAACTGATTAGCATACAAAAAGACACAATACTTTGAAGATTCCAAGAATTTTAAGAGTTGTATGCCAGGAAATGAGGGAGGAAGGCCACATATATACTTCACAATATCACATGTCGTTGATACTATCCAAAGCAATTTACAGATTTAATGTAATCCCTATGAAAATCCCAACAGTATTTTTGCAGAAATAGAAAAAACTCATCTTAAAGTCCTTATGGAATCTCAAGGGACCTTGAATAGCCAAAACAATCTGGAAAAAGAACAAAGTTGGAAGTTCCACATTTCCTGATTTCAAAACCTCAAAAGCTACGGTAACCAAAACAGTGTGGTACTGACATAAAGACAGACCAAAAGAATAGAATAGGTGGCTCAGAAATAAACCCTCACATATATGGTTAAATAATTTTCAACAAAGGTTCCAAAGCCAAACAATGGGAAAGAACAGTCTTTTCAACAAATGGTGCTCAGAAAACTGGATATCCATAGGCAGGCAGAAGGAAGCTGGACCCTTACCTTACACCATATATAAAAAGATTCACTCAAAATAGATCAAGGATTTAAATGTAAAACATAAAACTATAAAGCTTTTAAGGAAAAAAAAAACAGTAGAGAAAATCTCTGGTGCCTAGGACTTAGACCTGACACCAAAAGCAGGACCAATAGAAGAAAAAAATGATAATTTGAACATCACCAAATTAAAACTTTTGTTCCCCTGTTCAGAGAATAAAAAAATTACACACTGGGA